TTCCGCGCTGCAGGTTGTTCGCCATCGGCTCGCAGCTGTCTCCCGAGCCCGGCAGCTCCGGCATCGAGATGCTGGAGACCGACACCTTCAAGCTGCACTGCTACCAGACCCTGACCGGTAGGAAAGGGGCCGGAGGGGGGCGGGGCGGGACGGACACACCCACCCAAGGGACCCCCCCCTTGGGGTCTCGGACGGGGGCACCATGTGGGCCGGCCGGCTGGCTGGGAAGAATCCAGGCTGGTGGTCTCGGGGAGGGGCCGGGGACAGCCGCTCCTCTTCCTCCTCGGCTCTCCTGTGGTTCCTTCCCTTAGGGATCAAATTTGTCGTGCTCGCCGACCCACGGCAGGCAGGGATTGACTCCCTCTTACGCAAGATCTATGAGATTTACTCGGACTTTGCTCTCAAGAACCCTTTCTACTCCTTGGAGATGCCAATCAGGTACAGCTTTCTTACTCTTACACCTGTGTGGAGCCATGCAAGGCCACCCCCCCAGCCAGAATCTATGAGTGTGTGTGTGCACGCACAGTATTCGTCAGGTTCTTGCCTTGAAAAACTCAATGGAAGTTTGGAGTTATGAGAATGATTGGGGGTGGGGGGGCAGCTAGAGACCAAGAAGCCCTGTGAGGAAAGGTTGAGAGACTTGGAAATGTTTAGTCTGGAGAAGAGGAGGCTGAGGGGGGGGGGGACATGATGGCTCTCTTGAAGTCTTTGAAAGGCTGTCACTTGGAGGAGGGCAGGGAGCTGTTCCTGTTGGCAGCAGAGGAGAGGACTCGCAAGAATGGGTTCAAATTAAGGGGGGAAAGGTACCGGCTGGATCTTAGGAAAAACTTTTTGACAGTCAGAGTTGTGCCACAGTGGAATCAGCAGCCTAAGGAGGTGGTGAGCTCCCCCTCCCAGGCCGTCTTTAAGCAGTGTCTGGACAAACCCTTGTCAGGGGTACTCTAGCCTGATCCTGCACTGAGTAGGGGGTTGGACTAGATGGACTTTATGGCCCCTTCCAATTCTGATTCTATGGTGGTTTTTGCACCAAAATTAGCCTTTTCCCCAGTGCCAGGACCACAGAGCTGCCACGAGCAGTGGTCCTGCGAAGGAAAGCAAACAAGCAAGGTCAAGCTGTGCTGAGATGTTCTTGATCGATCGTTACAAGAGGCTCCTTCTCCCCCTGCAATGGCTATTCCTGCTCAACTAATGTTAAATCCTGGCATGTAGCTGAAGCCCAAGTAGTGGTGCTTCCATTAGAAATTCTCTCCTAAGAGAATGGAGCAGGGAACTTGAGTTATTACTAGGGAGTAGCTGGGCTAGGTCAAATCACTTCCTGGGGCTCGCTTGCTTACATATACATGTGGCTGTGTGCGCTTCTCCTTAAGATTGTAAGATGGTCCAGAATTTCTGCCTTTTGATGTTTCAGATGTGAACTCTTTGATCAGCACCTGAAGCTGGCACTGGAAGTAGCAGAGAAAGCAGGACCATTTGGACCGGGCCTATAGGACGGATTTTTCCCATTTCAGCCTCTCAACGGATCCTTTCCAGTGGCGACTGGGCCGGAAAGATTCCCTGGCAGGTTGTGTTCCTTGCTCTTCTCCACATGGGCTTTTCAGCTAAGATCACCATTGATGAAGATGGTCAGGAGGAAGCTATGAGCTTAACTCAATCACTTCCTAGGGCTGCCTTGTATATTTGTGTGTGTGTGTATATATATGTGCATGTGGCTGTTACAGTGTGTACTTCTCCTTATGGCTGTAGCCTTGTGTAAATAAAGCATTTCAGACAGAAGCTTGAATTGTGAGCTTACATGGGACTCACAGGGCTTAGCTGAAGTGGTGGAGGGTTGAGTATTTTGAAGGGAGCGCACTGCACAGAACTGGAAGCTTCTGTCGCACCGTTTATTTTAGTCAGTGGATACTTCATTACAGTGAATTGATTTGGAGCCATCTCCACTCTCATTGCAAGATGTTCTCCAAACAGCAGCTGCAAAACTGCTGGGTGCTGCATTGTTTCACTACCAAGGAGAAGGGCGATAGTAGTTTTGCTTGTGCAAATATCCCGCAGGTGTAGCCTTCATACATTTTCCTGGGCCTAGACATTTCTGGCAATCCTTTCCTAAGCCCAATCACATTTCTCTGAAGCACACAGGCAGTCTCAGAAGACAGACATGTCACTTTGGGAGACAAGGTAGCATTGCAGTGAGTGAGTCCGTCCTTCCTTCCTTCCCCGCTGTTCACGCAGCTTGCAGGTGGGGCAGGGTGCAGTTCTGCTCACCTGCCACCATTCAAACAGTGAAGAGAGAGAAGGCAGTGTGTGTGGGGGGGGCTGGTTCTGGGTCACCAACGGCGCTGCCACGTCTTGGCTTGGCTACTGTCGGTTAATCAGGTCCGCCCAGGATGAGTGGCTTGAGCCACCAGGGCACAGTGGGGCTTTGCCAGGTATTTCAGGAGACGGCCAAAGCCTGCAGCCCCCAAGCTGGCTTCTGCCCTGCCTGTCCTGTGGGGGTAGCGAGAAGATCCTCCGCAGCGGTGTCACTCCCGGGCTTCAGTCCACCTTCTTGGGCACGCGGCCCATCTTGGTGCGGATGTTCCTCAGGAAGAAAAAGGCCACGGTGCTGGCGGAGCACATCAGCTCTGCTACCCAGAAGGCCGTTCCCCAGCTGTAGTGCTTGGCGATCGTGCTGAAGGGCAGTCCGGCCAGGAAGCCTCCCACTGGAAAGCAGCAGAAGGCAGAGTGAGTGGGGGGTGGGGTGCGGCTCCGGGGGCGAGGGGAAGAAGCGGGGCTCCACTCACCGTTGGCCATGAGCGCCACAATGGCATGCGATGTCCCACACAGGTTGGACGGGGCGCTTTCGTTGGCTATGACGCCAAACAATGCGATTGGTCCATAAGAACAAAATCCAAAAACAGCTCCCAAGATCAGAATCCATAACTAAAAAAAATGGTGGGGGGAGAGAGGAAGTCAGGCAGGTGGGTGATGCAGCCTGTGTGCCTCACCTCTGCCCTCCGCCTGGCTCCCTTCTTCATTGTTTGCAGAAACAGGCTTCCTTTGCAGCACATTAAGGAGCCCTTTTGCTCTTCTGGTGAAAGGAAACGCTGCTTGTTCCCAGGTTGGTTAATTAGATTAGTGGCAAACACCGAACAGCTACCGTGCTGAACTACGACCAATGTGACTTTACAACAGGCACAACTGCAGCATCCCAGTAACTGTGACTGCAGCACAGATATTAGATTATCTTTTGAACAAAGTGTGAGTCCAGGGGCACCTTTGAGACCAACGAAGTTTAATTCTGGGTAAAAACTTTTGTGTGCATACTTTGCTGGTCTTAAAGGTGCCCCTAGACTCAAACTTTGTTCCGATGCTTCAGACTAACACGGCTGCCCCAACTGAAACTAGATTAGTCTGACCAGTCTTCAAAGTCACGATGTCTAGAAAAGTAATCAAAGCACGGTGACCCCCACCCCACAGAATATCCAGGCAGACCCTCCCTGCTTTTTCACAGGCACCCTACTGCTCATGGAAGGCGTTTGGCAGACGGCAGCTGAGGAGGAGTGGGCTGGAAGGAAAAGGGCCGGGTGTGCGTGCGTCTCCTTCCCTTTGGACCTCAAGCTCCACCCCACAGAACCATGCAGCAGAAAAGACAGAAAAGCTCAGAGAAAGACCTCATGTTCTGTTAAGCCCACAAGGATAGCAAGAGGGTGGAGGGCTACAATCCAAGAGCTGCTTTCCTGAGAGACAAAGAAAGAAACAGTGAACAAAGGGCAGTGAGAGAAAGCCCCCCTCCCCTCCCCCCACGCAGCCAGCAAGTGAGAGCCTCCACCCCACCAGCTCCTTTTAAAGGCCGTGTCTTCTGGGTTCCTCCTGCTACTTTCAAGGCCTTGGAGGAGGGCAGCCTGGGAATCCTCCCTCGAACGTGGTGCTCTCAGGCCCGAGGGACTGCAAGGCACCCAGAAGAGGAGGGGGACCTCTCCCAGCCCCGCAGTCCCCAAGAGGTGCATGTGCGGAGTTGGAAGCAGCAAGGAATGCCCCGGGGCTCCCCAAAGCCTGGTGCCCCTTCTTCTCCTTGGCCCGAGTTCCAGCGAATGGTGACGAAAGGCTTGCATGCAGGTTACCTTGGGAGAGCTGCTGGTGACTGTGACCCGGAAGAGGTACATGGAAGCAGACATGCCGGCCATCATGGAGAGGAGGAGTGCGTGCCGAGGGTTCCCGTACTGCGATAGGCCCACCTGTAGCACACCCCCAGGATGAGCTCCCACCAGGAGGCGTGAGGGATGCTCTCCCCGCCAGGCCTGTAGGGACACACCCCAGAGCCCGGGGGCAGGGACCAGCCGCCCAAGTCTCCCCCCTTCTCCCTGCTGGTCATCCGGAAATGGCCCTCACCAGCCTCCACCGGGTGGGTGGGTGGGCGGGATGATGCCCACCCACAGAAGGCCGGAGAAGAGCCAGCAGGCGCTCCTCCCCTGGTCAGCTTACCCGGGCGACGGCTCGGTCTGAGAGGAAGCCGGCTGCAATGCTGCCCACCAGGCCCCCAACCTCCAAGGCACTCATGTACGAGCTCCCTGCAGAGCCAAGAGAATATTAGCCAGCGAGAGCACACCCACTGCACGCAGCTCCCACAGGGCTGGCTTTCTTGTGGCACGCAGCGGGGTGTGTGTGCGAAGTGCCCCAGGCCCACCCACACACTCAACCGCTGACCTGGTCAGGACCCGGCTAGTGCCAGAAACAGTTGGAAGTTAACGTTGGAGGGTGTGTGTGTGTGTAAAATGAGCCTGGTCCTCCCACACTGCCACGCCCAGCTTCCCTGACCGTGTTTTCGAAAATGTTCCGTGCCCACGAGGCATTTAACTCTCTCTGAGCTGGTATCACGTACCGACGAATGTCGACTGCCCCCTCTCCTGGATGAGGAACAGCTGCCCCCAGTCCGTGCAGCAGGTCTTGACCCCAAAGACCACCAGGTAGCCAGTTGACAGGACCCAGAGGTAGGGGGAGAGCAGGAGCTCGGCCAGGGTGCTGTCCTCCGACGAGGAGCCTGCAAAGAAGAGGCCGCTCACGACTAGAGCCTTGCACGGCCTTCCCGCCGGGCCCAAACCACGGCTCGGAGACCCCCCCCCCCCGTGGCCGGGCTACGGCCTGCTAACGGCTCTCCCTCTCTCCAGCCTGGCATCAAGGCAAGCGGCTCAGTGCCCTTCTCACTGAATACAAGATGCCGGCACAAACCCACGTCCTGGCATCGTCTCTGCCTGCCGTGCGGCCCCACGCACAGGCGGCCGGTTCCTGCCGTGCCACTCCGCCGCGTGGCTTCCGCCTGCCCGCTCCTGCTCCCCAGGCACTCACCCTTCTTCCCTTTCTTGGGCCCCGGCTCAATGTTGGGCAGCCCCACGTCCGAGGGCTCGTTCTTGATTAGAAGCAGGCACCCCACGGAGGCAGCCACGCACACTGAGCCCGAGAGCGCCAGGGTCGTGCGCCAGTCGTAGCTCAGCGCCATCAGAGCAGCCACGATGGGGCCCAGCCCGCCGGCCAGGTTCATGCTGGTGGAGAGGACCGCCCACCACGTCCCAAACTGGGAAGGCTCAAACCACTGCACGGAAGAGAAGAAGAGCAGGAGTCGGTGCCGAGACTCGGGGCCCCAGCAGTGTGCGGGAGAGATGCTTGACCCCAATAGCCACGGCTGAGAGGCAACCCCGTTTGCCCGGAACCTCATTCTCAGGATGGAAGTAAACGTGGGCCAGGTCTGACAACCAGGGCCCCGGCTCTGCGATGGACCTCAGCCCCGGCAGCACGGAGCCAAAGGGCGACCTGCAGACCGTGAGTGGGACAGGCACTGGGTCTGGAACTGCTTCTGCGCAAAGCAAAAGAAAACTCCATCGGGCTTTTACGAACACCTTCAGCAGAACCTTCCCTGTAAAACAAGTCAGCCAGCAGGGTGCGACACTGTTCCGTTATGAACTGGGTCTCTTAAAATCAAGACTTGATGACTTTAAGATTCCATTCCTCCAGAACCGAACAATAATGAGGAGACTGGCTGTTCCCAGGGGCACCGGAATCCTCAAAGGCCACAACTGCTCCAAGTGCAGCAGCAGCGCCCCCCCCCCCCATTACGGCTGCCATTCCCTCCCCATGCCTTGCCTGCTGCCCCCACCCTGTCACACTAGGAGGCCCGCTTGCTCAGCGTCATCTGATACCCTCTTTAGCCAGCCTTGGCAGGCTACCATGGAGGGAGCCAGCCTCCCAAGAATACCGCAGAGTGGAAAGTGAGAGGGCCGTCTGGTGCCCCTGCCAGTTTCAGACCCATAAAGAGCCTCTGGGCGGTCCAGGACAGGGCAAGAGCAACGGGGGCTCTCTCTCCTCCAGGGCAGGAGAGCCACACGCGTTCCACAGCAGCAAGCAGTCTACTGTCCACCACTGTGCAGAGCGGGGGAGGACAGTCGCCGCTGCCGGACTTCAGTCATGCCAGTGGAAGGACTCCTGCCTGCCTCTCTCCCCCTGTGTTCCCTTACCTTGCGAAGCACCTTCCCGCAGGGAGGCCACCCGAGGCCCTGGGCTAGCCCGTTGAGGAACCACAGCCCAGCGAAGACGGCCACTGTTGAGCTCCAGGAGAAGACCACGTTGACGATGCCCACCAGCAGCAGGCCGGAGGAGAAGAGCCAGCGGGCACTCATCTGGTCAGAGAGGACTCCGCTGACGAACTTGCTGATGGCGTAGGCGGCAGATTGGCTGCTGGTGATCAGGCCTACATCAGGGAAGGGACGGGGACAGGGTGCCCTCCGTGAGCATCACACGGGCCCCAAGCGGACCCCGGCAGCAACACCAAGGCTCCTCTGGACCTTTCTGGCACCAGCACTGGAAGCAGGCGGTTCTGGGGCTGTCCCTTCAGAGGCACTGGGTTCAGCCACCCCCCACGGCCACGGCCCAAGCAACACCAGGAGAACCCAGGCCAGTCTTCTTTCTCCCCCTCAAGTGGCGCAAAGTAGTGGTTAGAGCAGCGTGAGACAGCCATGGCCGACGCGTGAGTGAATCAGGGGAGTGAGGGTGGGCAGGCTGTGCAACGAAGGGAGGGGGGCAGGGTCCCCATGCCAAAGGCAGGCTTCATAAACAACGGCTGCTCTTATTGGGAAAGTGAGGGAACAGCAAACACCCAGGCTGTATCTCTGAAACACCCTCCCCCCCGGGCACTGGCCGCCAGGGTCCTGGCTTCCTGCCAAAGACAGAGGAGGACAAGCCAGCCGAGAGAAGCAGTTGCCACACTGCCACTGGGTTCGCATGCACAGGAAAGGAAGCCTTTTTTTGCCCATTGGTCTCAGGAGAGCAGGAAAGGCACACCTTGCAGCTGTAAGCAGCATCTCTTCAGAGGCTCCCAGAGGACCCTTTCCCAAACACGCCCTCCACAACGGAAACTCTTACCCAGGTCATCTTTGTCCAGGTCTATCTCCTCCATGACCGACGGCATGACAAAGGAGAAGGTTTTCCGGTTGAAGTAGTACAGCGTGTAGCCAAGGTACATGGCGGCAAATATGACCAGCCGGTAGTAGCCGTAGCTTTTCCCCGCCATGGCGGTGCGGGAGCTGTCTCTCCTGGCTGGGCCCCGGAGGAGGAGGAGGAGGAGGAGGAGGAGGAGGAGGCTTCCCAGCAGTCCTGCTCTGCCAACTCTGCAGCTGTCGCTGACCTGGAGGGGGGGGGGAGGGGAGGGGGG